AAATGAAAGTTCTGTTTGACGCAAACAGATCAAGCGCAAAAAAAGTAAGAAGAAAAATAATAAAAGGATCCCAGGGAAGGAAAATTCTGCAGAAGCTGAGGCGAGTCTGAATAGCCTCAGACTAAACTCAGCTAAAGGCATCTGTCAGGAGCAGGTAGTGTGGCCTCTGGGAACCGTATAACTTAATTTAAAAACTCACACAAAGGGTTCCAGCAAGTCTCTAAAGAGATAAATTCACAACAAGAAAGACAGAGAGTAACATAGGCCAGCACCTCTGCAGGTGTAAAGAATCATTATTCTTCAATATAAGTAGCGAGGGCATGGTTTGTAAGAGCTTATTATGTCTCTGTTCCAAGGGACTTTCAGGCCTTGCTACCCACTCATATTAAAACACGTCAAGTATTCTAGTCCATGGGCACACTTTTAGGGATACAGTTTTAGCAGTATGTCTTCTTTTGGTAGAGAAAAGGGAGTAAGTGATTTAAGGAGTCTTTGTATGGCCAACCACGTTTCACGGCAAGGACTCTACTGGCATCCCAGTATCAGTATATAAGAAAGAAGGAAGGAAGGAAAGTTAACTCGAACTGGCAGAGATTTCTCAGTACAAGAGCAATCCTTAGACAGAACAAAATGCTAAAGGAGAAGAATGATTGCTGGAAACAGCAAAAGTATCATAACGAGTACCGCACGGCTCTCATTTCAACCCCAAAATAGTATTTTCTTGTTGTTGTAGCTACCTCTACTCCGTCATTAGTCATTCTTTGAACGCTAACTCTCACTGTTCCCTTGGGAATTTGGACCAAATAAGGAATGAACAGACCACGGACAAGTTTACGCCCAAGCAAAACCTTTAAAAAGCCTGCTTACTGAGTACAAAATACCATAGGAATATTGAGGATATATAGGTGGCACCAGCTAATTTTTTTAAAGAGTGACAAGTCCAAAAGCCTGCTGTACAGCGTTGCAGGGTCTCTTCTGCTTCAGGAAGAGGAAAGAACCACGGTGAATCAAACAAAACTGCAGCTGATGACTCCTAAGTAACAGTGACCATTAGTAAGAAGCTCATTGCCTTACTTGAAGGCAGTCTGATGGTGACAAAACCATTAGAAGAGAAAGCAAGCGTATTCCTGGTCACATTGCAGTCCGTTAGAAAGCTGCCATTACCTTCTGCCATTGATGGACTTTGCATCAGCCCTGAAGTATCTGAGTCATGTGGACATCATGCCCATTTCCTACAACTTACACATATTTTTCAAGATTTAAAGCACTGTAGTCTCAAAACCTTAACTCAGTGTGTAATGGTTTTAACATATATTTTACATCTTAATTTGCCATAATAATGTGGCTATAAGCTGCTGTCATTCGCTCCCTTTTTCTGACCTTGGAAATAAAATGTTTAATCTCCATGGGATTTTCCTGGCGAGATATTTTAAATCGGTGCATATGTACATACTTCTCTATATGTTTTTTCAATTTTCCTAAAATATTCTCATATGTGCAGACATGATGACTAGACATGTTTCAGTGGTGCTTGAAACTTGATACAAGGGGGTAATTTAACCATGTAATTGAACAATATTACAGAAACACACGGAGTTTCCTAGCAACAAAAGGCCTTAGACATCAAGATGGCAGCCAGCGGCTAACACTGCGATTGCCTGACCTGACTTGAAAAGAAATTACACTGAAGAATGTCCTCCTCCTCCTCGCAGCAGAACTGATCTGAGGTACATGACTACAGGTCTGACCTTGAAGGGCTTTTCTTACAGGCGTATGCCTTACTCACATGCAGGGTCACAAAATGTCATATGAGAAAGGACATTTGGGTTCCTTTTTGAGTATTTTTATATTTTCCAGGAGTAAGAATAATCTTTTATTTGAACAATGTAATACCCCTGTCTCCTCAAGTTTATCCCCACAGAAAATAAAAAGCTTCTTAATGCAAAGTAGCTGAGCACAGCTTAGCTTGTCGACGCAGAATTCCCCCTTGTTAGGGCGTTTCTGGAGGACTGGGCCAGGGGAAAGGTGGCACAAGTCCTGTGAGCCTGGAGACCAGTGCTGCTCTGTGCTACCAGCTCAGGTGCCAGAGACTCCCATGCCTGGGAAAACAGGACACAGAGGGACAGAGCAAGATCATCTCCTCCCTTCTTTCCTTTTTCCTCATTCTTACTCATCTCTGGCTGCAGTCTTTGGGAGGAGGGAAACCGCAAGATTTTTAGTCCAAGTTCTTCTTTGCTGAAGCAAGTCAGTCGGCTGAGCAGTTATCCCAGAGGACTATTTGTCCCCTTTATTGGTGCAGAGGGGAGGTGACACCTGAGATGAAGAGCTTCTGACCAGCCAGTCTCAGGCAAAAGCCATCTCTTCCTGAGGGGAAAGCGTAAAGCATGGAAGAAGATACCAACTCATGAGGCTGCAGTACTCAAGGTCATTTCTCTACTAATTCCTGCCTTTAACAAAGCCTCCTGCCACAATCTGAAGATAAGAGTATTGAATCTAGACCCACAGCTCTGAGCAAGCTGTGACACAGCTCGGTGTAACCCTTTGAATAGCAGCAAAGCGGACCCCCTAGCTATGTGACACCCTGGAGACTTGGGCCCTCCTGTTCACATTCCCCGCTGAGTCCCACCTTTCACGTCTGACCCAGACAAGTCCTTTAACAAGGGACAACAGCACTTCCCACTGATAATACAAACATTCAAGCCCATTAACTTTCAGACAGGATGATGCCACGGCCCAGAAGGATACGATCGGGGAGACACCTGCCCCTGGATGGATGCTAGGAGCTGTTAACTGCTGCGCTGTAGTGGTTTTCCCTGGTGACCCCACCAACACAGGGTGGCGCAAGGCACAGAGGGCACTGAAAAAATTCCTTACACCCTTGCTGTGCTCAGAGCTTCCTTCAGTTAGACAACAACATCAGTCCCTATTTCCAGTTACATCATGACTTCATTTTTCCATCTGAAGTAGCTAACTCTCGCTTCAAGAAAAATGTCAAAAATTGCCTGTTTTCTGAATGAAAACTTAAAAGTCTTGGGCAGAGAAACAAAACCCTTCTAGTACAAGGATGATGGTTTACTGGTATTTCACTAAAATAGCAACAGCTATTTGTGTGGAGTATGTCTATAACAAATATGTTGGTAAAAAAAACGCTGCCTTGCAAACACCATTCTTTTCAACGTTGCCTTTACAGCTTTGGAGGCACTGGCTGCTTTCACAGCCAAGTTTGCCACCGCTATGGAAAACAGGCTGCACATGCAAGCCAGCTGAAGTCATGCAGACTGAAAAGGGCTAGGGCTGCTGCTGCTACCACTGTTAAAATGTTATTTGGAAACCGACTTCTCAGAGAGCTGTATAAGGAATCAAAAATCCAGGGTAGGGATGCAGGCTTGATGCTTTTCCATTTTTTAGCAATGACTAATACAAAAAAAGCTCTTATCTCAAAATAAAACATTTCTGCCCCTTACAAAGGCATATAAGCAGGCAGGACAGAATGGCCTTATATAGCTGGCTTAGTAATGTCCTCTTCACCGCTGTATCTGAAGACCTTCTTGCATTGTACTCTCATAATCTCAACCAACGTGGATGGAGAACTAAGCCTTCCTCTTACTCGGCTGGAAGGCAGAGGGATGTCCCTCTTGATTTTGTCAGAAGAGTTGTGTGAGAACAGCGCGGAGACAAGGCCAAAATCAAAAAAGAAAATGAGAAGTAAAATACTTTAAGACTCAATAAGCCAGGCCAGAAATAATTTTCTAATCAATCTAACAGAGGTAGGTGACATGCAAGAAAGACAAACTTCTCAGTGCCTAAGGGAACATATGAGCATGTTTTAGAAGCTATTTCTTCTACAGATTTGTCCCTTATGTACAGCTGTTTGCTGTCTAACAAGGGTTGAGCGTGTAACTGCAGTTTTCTTCTAGACATTGGGTCTCCCTATGATATCCAGCTGTCTATTTGCATAAGATTTGAAGGAATCCAATAATCCAAGAATTACAGGATGGTTTCTGTTATCAGTCAAACAACAATTAATAAGGGTAGAAAGGAATATTTCTGTTTCCTTAGATACTTCACAGCATTAACTGCTTCAGATAAAAGGACAGAGTTAGCTCAATTATGCTTTTGCATCTTGATCCTCAAAAAAAATACCATTTTTCCATAGCACAACTTAAGTTTCACCTTAACTGGCAAAATATGTCTATCAATGGTTATGCCAAATCTAAAGAGACATTCTCCAAAGTCCTTTTCTAAATGCTTTTTGCTAAATGTTTTATCTACACTGCACCACACTGCACACTTCATGACAAGAGACCTTGTGAAATTGTTGCTACTTCAGGCAATCAAACAAGACCTAAACTGCAGCAAAGTTTCCTTTATAGCTTTTTTTCCCCCATGAATTTTCTCTACAAGGTAAAAGCAGATTATGGCAGCACCAGACTTGCACTGTTTCTCTACTCCAGTTGAACATGACAGTATTTCATTGTGTCATAATATAACACCAGATCAGCTTCATATGGTTTTCTTAATCCAAAACCAGCGTTCAGGTATAGCTGACCTCAGATTTAGACAAACCTGAAGAACTTTGACTACGAGTTTTCTGCAGTGTTTAAAGATCTCATCCCTCACCCCTCCTCTCCTTTTTTGGTATGTCCCCTACAAAGTCCAGTCCTGCTTTCACTCAGAACACAGGAATTTCTAAAGAGTTCTGCACCATCTCAGGGCTTCAGTTTTTGGGAGAGCTCACGTCTCGTTCACTAACAGAGCAAAACATCAGATACAGGCAAAAAAAGGGTCTAGCTGAAGTTTTGATATTCTGGTCTATGAGCTCAGGTGTGACAACGAGAGGTAGAAAGCACATTTGAACATCTCTCTACTTTGCAGATCCCTATCAAAAACTCTAACACAAAAGTTCAGGAAAACAATAAGAAATTCCAAGTAAATCTATTGGAAGTATTAGCATCTGTTTGATACTTCACACATCTTTCTGCAGAAGCAAAATTGCTTACCTTTAAGAAAATGAACCTTCTCAAAATCTTGAAAATTAAGTAACCCCAATACAAATGCAAGCCTTGAAGGATCAATAGCAGCCCATTGAATAAAAAATACGCTATGACAGGAGTCGTGGAGTAGTATGTAGGCTGATACAATGTGGCACGAAGAATCCTAAAAAATAAAGGTCACTGTTATGGTGCAAGAATCCTTCTCTATGCTTAATTTCACATTCCAAACCAATTAACTATTTCCACAAAATATTAAAAAGCTCTGCAAAGATGATAGATTAATTAACAAGCCCTGTCTTAACTAGATTACGTGTCTCTATTGAACTATTGATTACGTGTCTCTCTTGACTTCAGAAGATGAGAAATTTGAGTCTTGCAGGAAAGTATTCTAAATAAGCGTATTGGGTCTGGCTGAGATGAAGTGAATTTTCTCCATAGCAGCCCCGATAGTGCTGTGCTTCCTATCGGGAGCTAGAAAAGGTGTTGATCACACACCAGTGTTTTGGCTGCTGCTGAGCAGTGCTCGCACAGCATCGAGGCCGTCTCTCCAGCATTCCCCCTCACCAGCAGGCTAGGGGTGGGCAAGATCCTGGGGGGGGACATAGCCAGGACAGCTGACCCAAACTGACCAAAGGGAGATTCCATACCATGTGATGTCTGCTCAGCAATAAAAGCTAAGAGAAAGGAATAGGCAGGGGGGCATTCGTTATTACATTTGTCTTCCAGAGCAACTGCTTGGGGAAGCCCTACTTCTCTGGAAGTGGCTGGACGTCGCTTGCTGATGGGAAGCAGAGAATAAAACTTTTGTTTTCCTTTGCTTATGGCAGCGGCCTTTGCTTTTCCTTTATTAAACTGCCTTTATCTTGGCCCATGAGTTTTTTTCCATCTTATTTTCTCCCCTGCCCTGTCCTGCTGAGGAGGGGAGTGATAGAGCGGCTCCACAATAGGGCTAGAAAAAAAAAAAATCCCCCTTTTTTTTTTTTTTAAATCTTGAACTCTGTGTGGTCTAGAAACTATGCAACTCAGAGCTTCTCTATGCCATTTTTTTTAATGCAAATTCTTTCTAATCTGAAATCCACACTCCAGAGAAAATCCTACAGGCTTTGCAACGGGGCTTTTTGTTAATTATCGTATGTTTTGTCCATCTTCAGACTTCACTACTTCTGTATTATTTGGAGCTTTGAGTCCTTTTAATCTCATCATGTTTTGCTTCCAAGCTCAAGAACTCAAGAACAAGAAACTCAGTGAAGCAAAATGATTGGAGATCACTTGCATAGTTAATCAAAAAATAAGAAGAAAGTAAAAGACATCAGCATTTCTGAAAGAAAATACTACAGGAAATTAAAACCTTGTGTTAATCAATGTTCAGAACTATTAATTTAACCAGCTTGAGTCTCTAAGGGTTTGTCCACATGCAGGAAGGGCCATGAAGGCAAACTAGAGCAAGTCAATGAAACCATGAATGTGAAACACATTAAACACTTTTTAAAAGCTAAACATGTTAAGCATTAAGCACACTAAGCACCCGTGTGGATACCCCAAAGCAGATTAAATCATAGCACTCTGAAGTCATGCGAGTATTCAGCAAGTTATGATTTCTGTTGACTTCATAAATTAATTGGTTCACCTTAACTTTTCTGAATGCTCCTCATGTGAGTGAAGTACTACCCAAGAACTAGGTAGCAAAAAGAAGGCTCTACAAAAAATTCACTACAATCATAAAGCAATTGCACTGTACTCTGACTTTGTAGCTACAGCAGGAGGGACGGAATGAAAGGGAAAATGATTTCTCCTAGTTAAGTAGCTCAATGCCCTCGAAAATGCAGGAGCTCATAGCATTTAACTATAACTTATGAAAATAGGTTAAATAATATACAAAAGCCTTTATTAAAATTAGCATATTTTCAAGAGGCTCATTTAAAAACTATTTTTACTTAAATTAGATTTTTAAAGAAAAGGACATTTTTTGTCACCTCTTCTCACTGGCCTTTAGCAGCCAACAATAATGAAAGTTCTGCTTCTGCTCTTTAAAGTACAATCCATTCCTCTCCTTTTCCCATCACAACCAATACTAACCTCTCAATGGAAATGGGAATGAAATAAAAGCCTGTGACTGCATTAAATATTGCTTACCAGAAGGGGAACAGGATGATTCTCGTGATGAAGAATGCGATAGAAAAGATGATAAAGAGCATGTTGCAGGTTTTCTCCCAGTGAGCATAATTAAACATTTTGGCTGCCTGCATTGAACAAAAACCATCAAACATATTACAAATATTCTCTGAAATAAGTTCCTTTCTGCATTCTCATAAACAAGGACTCATCCTCCACCTAAGCAGGAAGATAATTTCCCTCCTGTTTGACATGTAAAGCAATCATTTTACTGATACCTAATAAAGCAGTATCAAAACAGATTCTTTGCTTATATTTCTCCTTTCATCTTAAAGGGAAGGACTCTGTATCAAAGGCCTAAAGAACAGCTCTCCGATCAGAATATAAAAGGGTCATGAAAGCACAAAGTGCTCTTGAAAACAGAGGTAATCCTTCATTCCTGTACCAGATTCAAAATGGGCTGGATCAAAGAGAAGCTGCCGGCCCCATCTGCACGCTCAGGAGCGGCAGTGACCCCTTATCTGCAGGCATTCTGGGGCATGCACCTTACTGACCCTTCTCTGTGCCTCATTCAGCCTCTGTCTTCTCCTTTTTGAGAGCTGGAGATCCTAGCGTTGGTCTCTATCCTGCTAACAAAAATTGTATTTACTGCTTCTCCCCTAGCTGAAGTGTACAACTCTCCGTGCTTCATCTAGGAATCGCCCTGGGCACTGTTGAATGAAACAGCCGTTCTCAAGTGTGAACAAAGCTTCAGGTGCCAAGCCTACGTTTTAAACAGCAGTTTGATGAACTTTTGAGTGGCAGGGCTGAATTAAGTTATTCTGGTACCCAACTTCGGTTTCCATCTGAGTGCTGTCCTACCAGTTGTCAGCTCAACTGTTCATAAGGCCACACAGTTAATTGGGCCACAAAGCAGTTCAGGATTAAAAGTAACCCAGCAAAAATCTGTATGCATGCGTTTAATCTGGACAAATCCAACTGCATGACCCCACAATCAGTTGTTCCAATACAACGGATAGAGTATCAGGAGCAGAAATAAACAACAAGAGACAACAGCCTACAAGGGCTGCTTACACTGGCACTGCCACCAAAAGAGGCAATGAAACTATGCTCTCAGTCTTGGTGTTTTAAGACCAGGGTAACTCTGTTGAAGGAAACACAGTGTGCATTTGTCTTCCAAGAAACCCAGCAGCAAGTCTCCATGACCACAGTGCTGTGTGCAGAATAGGACACTTCTTAATTTGAAACATTTCTAAACATTGATATTTAGTTCAGGGAAGGGATTTCCCCTTCAGTCCAGGGGAAGAAACTTTTCTTCTGCCAGTAGATACCCGTGATATCTTGTTCAGGGACAGCTTGAGTGCCTCCAGCCAGAAGTGTATAACGCAGATGTACCCCTTGGGCCAACACAGGGGTGTGAATGCTGACAAAATTAAGCAGTTTGGAGAACTAACCAAAATTTTGGCTGCTAAATTTGCTTGAGAATTGGTATCATGACAAGCTGTTCACAGGCTAGCCAGCTTGGTCTAATTTTAACAGTGAAACAAGAATAATCCAGGGAGGCAGCTGTTTTCCAGTCCCCATTCTGTACTGAAGAACTTCTCTTCTGCTCTTTTCTCATAATGGATTCTGTAACAGAGTATCAGCTGAAATTATCTAGAAGCTCTTTTTTATCTTATAACTCATGATTCTGCGAAGCCATGTCTCTGTGGGGATAGGAAGGGGCTGTGTGAAACTTGTGGTAAAAAGACTAAAACATCCCTGAACATAACCTGGGCAGCAACCAAAAAAACCCGCCCAAAACACACCAACAAAAAACCCAAAACAAACAAAAAGACAGAGGGCAGGGTTACCTCGAGCCAAAAATCTGCAGTATCGTGCACAAACATCACCAGCGTTCCAAGACGCACATAATTGCCACACCAAGAGCCACTCATCAACCCAATGGCTGCCAAGTGATGAATGACATGAGCCAGAAAATCCTGTGAGGGAGAGAAGAAAAAAAGGTCGAACCAAGCAAGTACAGCCCTTGAGGGTCTCGGTGTGGATGAAGTGACACACAGCGAGATGCCCTGGCAGCCAGGAGAGCCTGGACGTGTGCAGGTGTGCCAGGGATAGACTGATGCTGCCCTCATGTGGCTGCACCAAATCCAGTACCAGGACAGTGCTTTTCCTTAAAAAACATTTTTTTTTTCCTCCCTCACAGAAGCAGAGGTGCTAGCTACAAACAAGCATGACCACTTGCCTTCCTTTTGTTGTCAATCCCAAGTGTAAATAAGAGAGACCAGTAAAAACTAATCTCAGCCATGTAGTACCAATATTGGGATGGCAGCAGAGTCTGTAATGAAGAAAAACACAGTTAACTAAGAATAGCAAAAAGTGAATGCCAAGTGAAATTACTTCTTTTTTCCTTTCCTCACTTCTTTTGCTCCTCTGCTGAGTCTTGCTTAAAAAATTAAACTAAGCTAAATCCCTGTTCTGGGCTTCATTAAGAAGGATGTTCTGGGAGCCAAATATTTTAACCTTTACTCAGACCAAACTCTCGGTTTCTGCAGTTCCTCCCCCACCTCTGAATTTTAGCATGCTTTTTTCTATGTTTTTCTCAGAGAACTACACGCAGAGTGCTTCTGCATTTAATTACAAACAACTGCAAATAAATTAAGCCCTCCATTTTGGTGAACGATTAACATTTCAAACATTCACACATCCCATGACTAAAATGTCAGCTATTTATGCTGAAATCCTATGCATCTGCTTAGGGCTGGATGCTGAGCTTGGCTGCTCCCTTGGTTCAATAGTTTCCCAGGTGGCAGGAGGCAGGCTTGGTTATCAGGTCCCACGAGTAAGAGAAGCTGGGAAAACTCAGCTCAGAGGCAGGATTCTTTTTATTGTTGTCCCCTGAGTAGGACAGGAACAAGAAGGCAGTGTGATGGACCACAGATTTATAAAAACAGGAGCAGGGGGCACATAAGAACCTCTGGCAGGTGGGCACGAAGGCAGTTTGCTTGGATTCATCTGTTATGGGAGTGTTAGTAAAATATTTTAGGAAGAAATGAGAGCCTTGTGGCCCTTGGGAACAACCAGAGCATTGAGCAGAGATCCCCAGAGCAGGGACACACATTATGCCAAAGCAAATCACTGCAGCACTCCCTCCACCTGCACTACTAAGCAATAGGGCCCAGCAGGCACCCAGCACTCAGCATAATCCTCCGCAGTGCCTTGAACCATCGTCAGGACTGGTGCAAGCTGAGGGGTTCAGCACTGAAACCCGTAACACAGATAGCATCTGGTAACCTGGGATGGGTGGAAATAACAGTGGTCTGGCTGGAGGGCTGAGTTGCAGCACAGCCAGATCACGGAGAAGTCCTGCAACAGTCAGGAGGTACCAAAGAAGGGCAAAAGGCTTTGGTGCCGCGCCTCTCTAGGTGGTGCCCATTGGGAGGGAGAAGCGCTTCTACAGATTATCCCTTCCAATGGGGAAATACTTGGAATGCCTCGAGGCCAATGGCCTAATGCCGAAAAGCTCACCTGAAACGGATAGCCAACCCACGTCTGCCATATGTCGTAAAACCAAGGTTTCTGGGGAAGACAGATCATTCAGATACTGAGCAACAATAAGTCATCTTAACTCAAAATCTTCAATACTGAAAACTTCTCTAAGAAGTGGAGCAGGCTACAGTCTCGATAACTGTTCTCCACCAATTTCTAAAGGGATCTTACATCTCAGATTTATTATATTGGTCCCAGCTTTTTGGCTTCTTTTCAGGACACCTGAAAAGAAGTTCCAGTTCATCATTTCATTATCCAAAGCAGTGGGTGTGTGTTTTATTACTGCAATTACTCAAGATATGTTGCCACAGTGATTAGATTTTGCTGTGTTTACCAGCCATACACATCACTGGTTCATGATAATAAACAGCGTTTGGGGAGAAGAGCCAGATGAACGTAGACGGGCTGAGAACTGTTCTGTTGCTCAGGAGAAGCATTAATGACACCCCAGGCAGTGCTCACATCGTTACAAGCAGCACTCTCTCTGTTATTCCCAACTTCTGACTCAGCAGCAACACCTCCATAAATAGCCGTGAAATACCCCATTGTTTTGACCCCCAAAAGTGCTGCCAGAAAAGGTTTATGGCCTCCTTTGAGAAAAACATGGCCATGTGATACATTTGTAGGTGTTAACAAGGCATGTTGTAAAACCATCGGTGTGCCTTCTTAAAACTTGCCTTAAAAATACTGATTACTCATAAATTACTTATCATAGAAGTTCGAAAGATAATTTAAAAATTAAGTAAAACCTCAGTGCATACTGCAGCCTATCATCTAGATTGCAGACATCGAAGATCTGAACCCAAAGAGCCACTGAAACCAAGGAGTCTTTCCATGGCCTTCAAGGAGACCTAGAAATCAGTCCTTCTTTTGTTAAAAATATAAGAATATCAATCCTTCAAAAAATTAACTTACATCGTACAGAAATATAAATCCAACGATGGAGGATGTAAGATAGAATGAAAATCGCCAGCTGCAAAATTAAAATGAAAAAATAAGAACAAAAAGCATTACATTTTGTGTAGGTATTGTCCTGAACCATAACTACTGCAAATCCTTGTATATCACAGACAATCTTCACATGAACATGTCCTCACACTCTACATTAAGGGTTGTCACATATTAACTATATCTGAACTATTAATATTTAAATAATTAAGCTTTGACTAATTGCTATAGTAGTAAATTATTTTACATTATCACGAAACAGATATCTTGATTACGATCACAGCAGTCATCTTCCAGCCAAGCATGAGCTGATCAAGATAACAATCACAGCAAATGTAATAAAATCCCTAAAAATTAACGTTTGGTAACACCAACCTTTCCTACTGTATCAATTCCTCCAGAATATTCACACTGGACCAAGAGCATCTCACAGTTCCCTGACTCCAGAAGGTCTTTCAGCCACGTGGCACATACTGCCCAATCCGATCAAACACTGTGAACGCTGGGAGCACCAACCGCAACTTGTTTCAGTTGATGGGTTCATTTCTTTTGATCTCTCTTAACACCGATTGTTGAAAACAGGGGAGCCCTACAAAACTTTAACAACGACTGACTACTGGATTAGTTTATGTCTTACTACAGAGGTCTGAATTAACTATAAACCTCAATCTTTGACTAGGTTTGCCAGCATTTAGCCTGATCTAAGCTTTTTGTGGCTTAAATGGATATCTATCAAGGAAGATAAAACTTTCAGGTTTTTACCACCGATCTGGTAAGTCAGCAAAGGGATAAAAGTTATTCTGTATCTTAGCGAACCGAAACTGTGTTGTTGCTTCTATATGCCAGAGCAGGATGCTGTGATTTGGAGCCAGCAATCAGCATTGTAATGCCTCTGGAGCCTGTGTGGGAGGTATTGTCCCTGGGACTGGGTGCGGCTGGAGACTCAGCCAGAGCATTCCCACTCCCACCTCTACAGGTGATGGAAAACTTCTTCCTTTCCACTCTTCTCCTTGGCAGGAACAAGCCTGACCTTTCCCAGAGCAGCTCTTCAAGATAAGCAGGAAAACACTG